TTAGGGTTTAGGACTCAGGTTTTAGGAGTTGCAATTTAGGGTGAGAGGTCTACAAGGAAAGAGGGATTGGATCCCTGAAGTAGCCCCTGCATTATAGGATCCTAAAAGGGGGGGTGGTTCCAGGGGGAGGGTACATGGGAGAGCCTTGGGGAACCTTAGGGAAGCTTAGGGAGTATTAGGGAATCATGGGGAGTACTACGTTACCTACCCCCTTGGACCAGCCCCCTTGAGGACATCCTAACTGCATGACCTCCAACAAGTATGCCTTTCAAGTCTTCTCGCATGGCGCCTCAGCACCAGGAAGAGGCGAACCCATTGGGGTAATAGTAGGGGCTGTAGTAAGGCTATATAGGGGTTATATAGGGGTCATACAGGAATATAGGCTTTGTATACGCGGGTTGGAGCTTGTCCCTAAGAACCTACACCGGGGACCCCAAACGAACGTTCTAACATCTCGGTTTCCTATCCTGCTGCAATTTCGAGCTTGCCTCGTAGAGATGTTAAACTAAACAGAACTGGTAAGTTTTTTGCTGTTGGGTTAAGATCATTGTTGTAGTTTCCCAAAGTAGGAGGTAAAACCCAAAATGCTATAGACATGAGGCTTCCCTATGAACTCTACAAAGCTTAGGTTCAGCCTTGAAGCATCTTATAGGGTTTAGGGTTTAGGGTTTAGGGTGTCATGTGGGAGCCTTCAAACCCCTTCCATCAACGTGTTCCCTATGAAGCTCTGAGGCCTCTCAAACTGCTTTCCCTGTGGTCAACTTACCACCTAAAAGCTGGTTTCGGGTGCGATAGAACTTTGGCCTGGTGCAGCTCAATGCTGACAGCTTAAGGATTTAGAGTTTATATAATAATATTTAAATGAATACTATTAATAATATTATTAATATTAAATACAATACTAATAAAAACAGGGTTTAGGGCTTATAGACCCCCATTGCATTTCGCCTTCTACCTTTAGCTCAGGCTGCCTCATCCGCAAGTCCCACATTCTCCATTGTTCTCATGTGAGCTACTGTGAAAATCAGGCTTTCCAAGAAACCAACAAGAGGACATGGGCTGCTTGTGGTAGTTTACTACAGCCCCTACAATATTCCCAACCATGTCCATTACCTAATAGGAATATTTACTGCAGCTCATGCTTTCTTTGTCCTAAAGTGTAGTCCGAATCCTTATGTACTCTCCTAGAACCGCTTCAGAGGGACCGGCAGTTGATGGAGGAACTTTTGCACCACCTTAAGTCCCTTCATTCTTGGAATTGCTTTCAGGCCCCTCGCCATCAACACCCTAAACCCTAAATCCTCAACCCTAAACCTAAATCCTACACCCTCAACACTAAACCTTGAACCCTAAACTACAGTGGGCTATTTGGATCCCTGGTGTCTAGCTTTGAAACCCTGAACCGTTTTTTCCCCCCCCCCCCCGGAGTAGTCCGTAAGTAACCCATTATAATAGTTTCCTTTTTCTTTCCATTCCTACGTTCCCAGCCTAAACCCTCAATCCTAAACCCTAAACCCTAAATCCTAAACCCTGTACCCTAAACCCCAAGCCCTAAACCCTAGACCCTAAACCCTAAACCCTTAACCCTGGAACCTAGACCCTAAACCCTATACCCTAAACCCCCAAAACCTAGTCCCTGGGAAGGTGGAGAGCCGCTCCACGATCTGGGCCACGTCGATTTCTTGCCTTTTTGTTCTCCATCCAGGCATATTTTAGGGTTTAGGGTTCAGGGTAAGACCCCTTTAAAATCAGTCCATAATTAGGAGTTTCCCAAAATTAGGGGAACCTGTAAAAAGGGGCTATATAGGGGTTATATAGGGTTTAGGGGTTAAGGTGTAGGGTTTCCCAAAGTTAGGGGTACCTTTTTGAGGTCCCCATAATAAGGACTATAGTATGTTGGGGCGCCTTTTGGGATTTCATTATTTTTGGAAATGACCATATCTTCAGACTCAGTGCTGCTCAAGCTTCGGGTTTAGGTTTAGCGTGTAGGTTCTAGGGTTTTAGGGTCTAAGGTTTAGGGTCTAGGGTTTAGGAAGTTATCCCCTCAGGTGTTTCTTGTACTGCAGGTTTAGGGTTTAGGGGGTGACTTACAAACCCAAAATCTAAGCCCTAAACTGGCCTAAATCTTAAACCCAAAGGAAACCTAGAAGGACCCAGTTCGCAGGCCCTCCTCCAGCACCCATATGTAAGTTGAAGGATGGGCAAGTGTGGAGTGAGTTTTGGGTTCCAGGGCAAGAGAACAAAATGCGGGCCATGCTGACGTGAGCCATAGTCTAAACCCCTTAAAGGGGGTTATATAAGGAAGCATTGTGGGGGTTACTAAGGGGGATACTCGGAGTTTAGACTATAGCTTACGTGATTCAGCTTTAAGCTTTTGACCACCTTGATGAAGGATCCGGTATCTTGCAGGTAGCAGTTCATGAAAAGAAGGGACGCGTGTGAATACTTCCAGATAGATAGGCCCCTCTTATAATCCTAAACCTTAAACTCTAAACCATATGAGGCACGGAGCAACATGCACCCGTGTGGTTGAGAACCTTCCGCGAATCACGAATAATCCTAGAACCCACCCCTCCTAGCGCTGAATATTCCCCATGTCTTATGGTATACCACAACGAGAATGTTCGATATTGGGGGGATGGGGGGTTTAATGAGGGGGGGGGATCAATTACTTAACTTGTCCCCTTGTAACCCTTGTAGAAGTGTGATGACATACCCACAAACTCTGTTCGTAATTGTTTAGAACCCTCCATTACCACCCTTTAATATCCGCCCTGAGAATGGATCCCCAAGACGCTATTATGGGCTTGGCCCAGCAAATCTCAATTACTCCCTGCCCATGTGAAGCACTTATCCTCCCTGAGGCTGAAAAAGCTGCGCAAGTGAAACGACCTTACCCGACTGATGCCATGGTGGTCCGTAAAAAAAACAGCGCCAACAGGTTCAGAAATTCATATGAAACTATTACTGTATGACAACTGGCTGGAACAAGCGTTGCCATGGCAATTCCTCCTCGCAGTCCCGCCGCATCCAACCGACGAGCGGGGACGGCTGCAGCTGGCATCGCTGGCATCTTCATGTGCTCTTTCTTCTGCTATCTTCGTCCCGAACAGTCCTTTGCCCCATGCAGCGGGATCGACTTTCAGAGAAGCCATCCACAAGACAGCACATGCTTGGCAGTTGCTGCAAGTACAGCGCATCAGCGCGAAGCAGACTATGCAGAGCCTGTAGCATCCATTGATGCTTTGAACGCCCTCGTGCCTCGAGCTGAAATCGCTGCTCTCAGCCGACAACGATCTGATCTTCAGGGGTTTCTTCAGCTCCTCTTTCACAGCAGTCTTTTCGCGACTGCGGCTGTTTGTCAATCTGCTTTTCTTCTCAAGTTGATGGGAACGGCATTTGTGTCGGCGTTTTTCTTTCACGGTTTGCATGAGACAGTGCACCAAACCGCCTTTCGATCCAAGTGGGCAAATATCGCAGTAGCGCATGTGTTAGGTTTTCTGTGCCTAAGACCTGCCCGCCATTACTGGTACTACCACTTGGATCATCATCGACACTGTGCAGTCATTAGCAGGTTTTTTGTCAACTCTCACTTAGTAATTACAAGCTCGCAATGTGATCTCAAAGCCTACTTGGAGAGAGGCTTAGTAAGTAGGTAAATAAATGGGATAGCTGGGGAGATCATATGACTTATATTAGGTTGATGAACCTACTTACTAAGTCCAAATTTCGAGCAGGATACACTGGCAATCCAGAGCGTGATTCTGAGCTACAGTCAGGCTCCTTCCTGGACTTGGCCATCGATGGCCCAGTTCAATATCTTTTCTACCTGTCAGGAATTCCTTTTTGGATTGATGCAGTCTGCAGCCTTATACGTCATGCCTTTGGGTATTGCACGGAGTCTTACCTGTGTTACAAGATGAGGGCCTGCAGACAAGTGTCAAGAGAAGCCAGGATCTACCTTTGTCTGTACGTGTGGATAGCCGTCCTGGCTCTCAAGTACACAATTGTGGCAACAACTCTTTTGCGCAACTGGGTTTGGCCGGCCCTCTTGGCACAGCCTATTCTGAGATTCTACTTGCTTGCCGAACACCGCGGTCGCAAGCAATCAACTTTGGTGTACGAAAATACACGCACTACCTACACGAACTGGTTTCTCCGGAGGCTGGCTTGGTGCATGCCCTACCACATGGAACATCATGCCTGGCCCTCTGTACCCTTCTACAAGTTGAAAGACGCTAACCACCTTCTTGTCCAAGCAGCTCATGAAGCCAGTGCGGAGAGAGGCTACGATGTCCTAGAGCAGGGTGAAGCATATCCGGAACTAAAAGAGAGCTCGAGATTGGGCTATATCGGGTTCAACCTTCGCTTCTGGAAGCATTTGAGACCCGACCGCGGGGTGAGAAAAGGATTGGGGCGCATGTGCCTAAGTGAGAAGGCCCCCAAATCTTCGCAACACAGTCCTGGAAGGAAAGCCCTGTTAGTTCCTTTTTCAGAACCCTTATGGGGCTACTCAGAAACCTGCATTCTTGACTGCAGAAGCGTCGGAGATGCGCAGGCCATTTGCGACGTTCTCTCCGTTGTGCCCTTTTGGGTGCGGGCCTCGCGTCACCCAGGATGGTGATCTGTAGATGAGCTGTAGTCTAAACTCCTTAAAGGGGGTTATATTGGGAATATGTAAGGGACAACTATAGGGGTTATTAAGGGGGATACTAGGAGTTTAGACAGTGATCTGTAGATGTCACTGCAGTGGAGTTTTAAGGGGAGCTTTAAGTGGGACTAAAAGGGGGGGGGCTGGGAGGGGGCTTAAGGGGGATTTAGGGTTTAGGTATTAGGGTTTTAGAGGTTAGGGTTTAGGGCCCAAGCAGGATTGGGAAAGTGTCACTTGGGTCATTCCCTTTGCAGTAGCTGTGCTCAAGGGATTTCACTGAGACTAGCTTACTCCTATTACCTCCTGTGATAACTGTTATCACTTAAAGTCTCACGCTTTAGGGTTGGGCATTTATGCTTGCAGAGGATTATGACTATCGTTGTATCATGGGACTGAATGATTAGAATCATGAAGCACGGTAAGGACAACCTGTTAGTCTCGAGGATTACCCAGAACAAGGGCCTTTCCCTGCAGGATCCGTGCATCAATGCTGCATCAATTGAAAAGCCTCAGCAGCCATTCTGTGCTGCATGCCCCATGGGGAGTACAGCATGTTTGCAGGCATTTTTGCAAGTGACTGGGAGTTACATGAGAGGTTGGCAGCCTAGTCCATAATGGCGTAGCATGTAAGCCAATGGGCGGCTGGCATCTGATGTGCAAGCACTGAAGTTGCAGAAAGCACCGTCCCTGAGCACCTGCGATCACAAGCGCACCGCAGCACAGGAGGCAAAAGAGTCGATACCATACCGTAATGATTTCATGCATCCTGAGCAACACTATAAGTGAATCCCAAGAAGCCATGGGGTAGTTGCCCTAAACGGGCGGATCCCAATATAGACCCCAAAGTACTAAACCTTATTATAGGGACCCCCAAAAAGGTACCCCTAATTTTGCGAAACCATTCATTTCCAGAAACAACCCATGCATTTGCCTCAGGAACTGTGGCTCTGACTGAAACATGAGCTTCCCGCCACCCCTCCCCCCCTACCAAAAAAACCAAAAACACTGGCTTGCTCTTAAGGAGCCTAAATTAAGTTACCGTACTATGGGCAAATAGTCCATAATGGGGTTTACTTCTTATAGTAACTTACTTTAAGTTCCTTAACGGCAACTCAAAAACGGAATCCACAGCATGCCCCAACCAACTGATGGAAGAACCCTGCTTCAGCTAGCATCCCTAGGTTCTTGGACTTTGAAGGCTTATTATGTTTATTTTTATCAGTAGTATTCTTATTAGTATAGATATTATTCTTAGTAGTAGCATCATTAATGTTATTTGGACAATAGGATACTTAAGGCAGTGTATTTTTGGCATCAAGGTTTTAAAGGCTGCAGATTTTTCGGGTTTCTGTCAGGGTGCAGTCGCATGCAGTCCTATCGCCGTCTCTTAAAAAAACAGCCTCCCCCGTCTCTACCGTCAACATAGAGCCCTTAGCTTGAGGACTTCAGAAGACGCGATTAGTTTAGAGACACCTTAGGGTTTCTTGGAGAGACCGCGAAAAGGAGAGAATGTCCTTAAATCCTAAAAGTGGAGGGGTTCAGAAATTAGGGTCCTGTTTGGGGGATCCCCACAAATAAGGATTATCGTAATTTTGGCAATCCACATTGGATTCCCCGTATATAGGGAAACTACCATATATCTCTGATAAGAAGCACACAGCAATTCTCCCTAATTCCCTTCAACAAGCCGACTTAATGCACTTCTTAGAAGCTCCTAAGCCCTACATTGCAAACCCCAATTGAGTAGTATTTATTTGGGGGAGACTATGTACCCAATATAGAGTAAGATTATATCCTCCTTTTGGGTATAGTATATTATATAAGGAAAATTATCTTACTAGGTTCAACCACCAAAAAAAGCTACTCAATCCTAAGCCCCGCGCCCTGCATCCTAGGCTTCCAACCTTGAGCCCTACTCTGTACATCCTCGACCTCAAGCCCTCAATGCTAAACACGCCCTAAACCCTAATACCCTAAACCTTAAGCTCCTAATACCACAGGCCCGAAACCCTTATCCCCTACCCTAATCCCCTAAATCCCAAGCCCGAAACCCTAATCTCATAATTCCCTAAACCCTGATCCCCTAATCCACAAACCCTCATCCCCGAAGCCCCTAATACCCTAAACCCTTATCCCCTAAACCCCTAAAACCCTAACGCCCAATCCCGCAAACCCTAACCCAAAACCCCTAATACCCTAACCCTCTAATCCAACACTTATCCCCTAAACCCCTAAACCCTAACGCCTAATCCCGTAAACGCCAAACCCTAATCCCCTAAACCCCTAATACCCTGATACCGAAATCCCTTAAACCCCAAACCCTGATCCCCAAAACCCCAAAACCCCTAAAAATCGCGGAACACCTTAAACCCCAAACCCTAATCCCCTGAACCCCTACACCCCTAACACCCTAACGCCTAATTCCCTAACCCCCAAACCCTAATCCCCTCAAACCCTGAACCCCTAAAACCCTGAACCCCTAAACCCCTAAACCCTAATTCCCTAACCCCAAAACTCCCAAAGCTGTGAGGTTGAGACCATCCTTCAGCCCAGGGAAGCGGCTACAGCGGCTTCCTCGGGGGCTTTTAGGATCTTAGGGTTAAGGGCTTAAGGGACTTAGGGTTTAGGGCTTAAGGATCTTAGGGTTTAGGGCTTTAGGGACTTAGGGTTTAGGGCTTAAGGGACTTAGTGTTTAGGGTTTCAGGGACTTAAGGTTTAGGGTTCATAGCTTTTAGCTTTCTTGGGGGTTAGGTTTCAGGTTTGTTTAAGGGACTAAAGGTTTAGGGCTTCAGGGACTTGAGGTTTAGGGTTCATGGCATCTTGGAGTTCAGGTTCCAGGGTTTAGGGCTTGAAGGACTTAGAGTTGTGGGTTTAAGGAACTCAGGGGTGTATATGATTATTAGCTACTTGGACCACCAGGGTTAAGGGTCTAGCCGTGCACCTGAAGAGCAAGAGAGCCTCTGCGGACGTTGCCTAGGTGCGTCTACCTAAGTAAGTAGGTTAACAAGTAGGATAGCTAGGGCTTATAGGGGTTAATTAATTTACCTGTTACTTTATGGCTTATATGGGTTATTAATTAACTGAGTTACCAACCCTAACGTCCAAGTATTTCGTAATCATATGCTTGCCCCGAACCTGTATTACAACTTCTATTACCCCAAGCTCAAGTACCCAACTATCGGGTACATGGACCCTCTGGGTAAGTTCCCCTGACGCTTCAAGTCGCTGAGAGCTTGTTGGAAGTCTTCAGGGTGGATTCTAGTTGTTTAGGCTTGGGGTTTAGGCTTTGCAACCAGATCAGGGTGCAACCCAGGACCTGATTGCACAGTCTTCTTAGTGGTTCGTGGGAGGAAAAAAAAGGAATATGATCCCTACGTAACCCCTGCAAAATATATATCCGTATTCCTATGAATCTTAAACCCTAAGCCCTAAAATATTCCGTTATTCCCTACTAACCCTAAACCCGACATATTCCCTGATTCCCTACTAACTCCCAGTAAGTAAGCAAAGAAGTGCCGCATATCTGGCAATCTAATTTCTGAAGCAGATCCCAGCCTCAATAGAGCATTCGACCAGTTTAGGGTTCAGGGTTTAAGGCTCAGGGCTTAGGGTTCAGGGTTTAGGGTTCAGCTTGTGGTTCCTGCCTTTTGAGACCCTTGCACCAAGGAAGTAGCACCCATCGCAGGCGAGCTCAGTTTGAGGTCAGCTACGGGAAGGTTCCCAACGCACAGCCAATCCCAGCCTGACCGAAGACCCCGAACCACCGTAGTTATTCTGACTTTACCTTTGAAAGGGGTTTGTCATGTTTCCCTGGAACCCCCTTCCCACCGTTGAAAATGAAGGTTGAGGAGCTTTCCGTCCTGCGTGTTTTGTACATCGTGCGGTCCTTGGATTTTAGCGCCAAACAGGTGGCTCCTAGATGCCTGGCTCGGTCCCTATGACGTTTCCGAACCCTCTGACCCCCCATGCCAACAAAATGCACCACTGGCATTCGTGACTTTGAAAGCGATGTGGGGAAGTCGAGGGACCGAGTTTTGGACACATGGGGATGCGTTGTGTAAGGATTCAGGATGTACTTCAGCCAGCCTTCTGCTGTTGAGGTCTTTTGTGTCCAAGCTGTTGCTGTTTCTTGTTAACATCGCATTACTATGAGCTATCCAGCAAGGGCGGCAGCACAAGCAGTCATGGTCTTGCTCAATACAGCAGCAGCAGCAGGAGGAGGAGGAGCAGGAGCAGGAGCAGCGGCAGCAGCAGCAACAACAAAATCATCAGTGCTCCAACCCGCCAACAGCAACAGCGCTGAAGACAACCGCAGGTGCCATCACAGTAGTGCCAGGACTAGTTTAACCAACAGCTACGCCCAAATAATGTTAGGATGCGCAATGTCAGTTTGCGGTGATGTGAGCTGTTTTGAGAAGCTCGTGTCCACACTTCCAAACGTCTTTGCCCCACGCCCCCAGGTCCCTGCACCTGCCAGACTGCTGAAAATTAGGCAACATTCCCGAGCGGCAGTCACAACTTAAAAAAGCACAAGAAACTTACGTAGCCTAGGCAGGAAACCATTTAAACTGCTCGTAAAACTAAGGGAAAATCTATACCTCCCTTCAGTTGCCGTTACGGATAACACTCGGGTTTCGTGATATACCCACCTGGAACTTTCTTGAAATCCCTGCGCTCAAGACTCGGGTGGTCCGTCTCTTCAAGCTCACACGGGCGTTGAATGCAGACCTGGGACAGCCAGAGACTTAAGACCGTGTGAAGGGGATGTGGA